TTAGAGGGGCAGGGGGTGCCCAGGGGCAGAGAGGAGAGGAGCAGAGATGCAAAGGGGAGGAGGGATGGGGAAAAGGCAGAGATGCGAAGGGGGCAGAGAAGAGAAGGGGAGGGATGTAAATGAGAGAGGTGCAAAAGGGGAGGTGAAAAGGGAGGGATACACAAGGGGAGGGATGCAAAGAGTTGCAAAGAGGAGGGATGCAAAAGGAAGAGGTGGACGGGACGGAGAGTGCAAAGAGGCAAGAAGAGCAGAGATGCAAAGGGCAAAGGGTGGGGGCAGCTGCTGCCCCCTTTCCCGGGGTGGGCACTGGCAGCACCCAGAGATTTGGGAGGTAAAGGGATGGCTCGTAGGGGAATGGGAATGCGAGGGTCCCAGTGGAGCAGGGGGCTGTGCACAGATCCTGCTGGGAAAGAAGAGCCTGGGAAACTAACTGAAAATGTGTGGGGTGGGAAAAGCTTCTAACCCTGCTCACCCGCTTCAGATGAAGATGGAGAAAAACTTTTAAGTAGAGGAGAGCAGCTCTTCCCAGCAGCCTGCAGTCGTTTTTCAAAATGCATCTGGTGAGCAAGGTAAAAATAAAAAGCCAGCTCTCTCTATATTTTTGCTTTCCGCTGCTTCCTCCTAGAACTGGCTGAGGCAGCTTTAGGCTTTTCCAGCTTTTTGGCAGATGGGTCAGAGACTGACCCTCTCCTCTCACACAAACTGCTGTGGAGCTTCTCCTGAGGGTCCCCAGAGGCCCCACACCACTCAGCAGCCCAAAATAGCCACCTTCTATTTCAGTATTCTCCTTTTCCCATTTCAGTATTCTCCTTTTCCCATTTCAGTATTCTCCTTTTTCCCACATCTGGTCTGGTTGGGGATAATAGAGTCAGGAATGGGCACGGGACGCTTAAAAACTTTTGTTAGAATAGGAATATCATGGAGACACGGTCCCTCTTAAACATCTTCATAGCTGGGATGGTTACTAAAAGTTTGACAGTATGTTCTAGCTGGTTTAATCTCATCCTCCGTCTGCCTGTGTCCATCTGCCTCCCCAGTCCTCCACAAGGACTGGGAGCTCTTGGGAGCAGAAGGTGCCTTTTTGTTCCATGCTCGTGCTGTGCCCGGTTTAGGGGGGTCCTCGTGCATCAGCGCCGTTCCAAATAATGTGCAAAATAATGAATCATCAGTTAAATAATGCTGAGCCAAGTTCATGACAGTGAGACAAGACTTCCTCTGTGACAAGTGTCTCCCCCTGGAATATTTTCGTCAGACTCAGCTGTGTGCTGAAGAGTTTAACAAAGGTAATATTCATATTTCATGATGGCATGGTCCTACAACATATTTCATCATAGCTTTACACAAGAACAGCAAAGTTGGCTCTTGCTAAAACAGAAACAGATTTTGATATATTTTTTTTCCTAACAAAAGCTCCAGAATGACTGCTAGAGATTTTCATAACTATTTTTATAATCTATTTCTTTAAGATCAGCAAATTGCTTCACAACTTTCAGGAAAGCTTAAAAGACAGTCCCGAAAAGAATTTTTTAAAGAAAATATCCCCAGGAAATCCCAACAGACCAACAGGCTCAATATATTTTTTAATGTTAACCATCAGGAAAAACTGCTTTTGCTTTGGAAACTGCAAGGACTAAAGAGTGTTAGAGAAAGTTTCAGAACCTCATTTGGTAGTTTTGAGATATATAAATAAGAACTAAGGAGAAAAACCAAGAATTGAGGCTGATGTTGACTGCAGACAAAACTGAGGCAGTCCTGACACGGGGGTCATGTGAAGAAAGAGAGAAGTGCCCCAAGTGATGGGAGAGATGCTGGAGGCATTTTGTGCAATCTACTGCACATGGAGACCTTGCTGCAAACCTCTGGTTTCTGTTGAGAAATGGTGCTTTGTAACATTGGCAAAGACACAGGCGTCATGTGAAGAAAGAGAGAAGTGCCCCAAGTGATGGGAGAGATGTTCAGCCCATCCAAGGTGGTCTCTCCATGGTCTGTCCATGTGGTACAACTGACATTAGAGCTTCATGGCTTCAGCAACATGAATCTCACAGTGGGTGTGGGCAGTAACATTCAGGTATGTTATTACTGCAGCACTGCTGCTGAGGAGGTAGAGCTCCAAATGTTCAGCCCATCCAAGGTGGTCTCTCCATGTCTCTCCATGGTCTGTCCGTGTGGTTCAACTGGTGTGTTCAGCCCATCCAAGGTGGTCTCTCCATGGTCTGTCCATGTGGTACAACTGACATTAGAGCTTCATGGCTTCAGCAACATGAATTTCCTAGTGGGTGTGGGCAGCAACTGCTGCTGAGGAGGTAGAGCTCCAAGAAGCCAATGAGATGTTTGTATCCGTAGGTTGGTTGGTTTTGTCCTGGGAACCAAATTCTTAGTTTGTGTGAAACTCAGTTGCTATTTTTTCTGTGTATACACAGGAAATTAATATCTTCCGGGTAGAAGAGTCTCGTATTTAAGCTTCATCTCTGTTTACTGTGTGTTCCAAGTGAGTAATGGTCAACTGTCCTCAAACCACTTTGGAAATACCTAATCTAAGCTGTGATCTGCTCTGCTATTCCTCACATTCCCTTTTGGCACCATGTAGCAGCTGGGAAGGAGGACAGGGTGAGAAAGGGATGGACATGGGCAGCTCAGGCCCAAAATATGGTTGTGTCTTTGCTTAATACTGCTGTAAGTAGCTAAATTAAACTGTTTATATTTGGCCAGAGTGTTTGAGTCAGTGAGCCATCTCAGACAACAACACAGCATTTGCTGGTGTGCGCTGGCTATGGCTGATGCTCTCCAACTCTCTTTTTGGTGGTGATTACCAGAGTGTGGAAGCAAGTAATTAATGTTCTTTGGAATTTCTCTGTCATCCTGCAGAGTGGTCGTGGTGGTGTTTTGAGGATACAGTGGGAGTCCATGGAGCTGCCTTCAGAGCTGAATGAGCTGAAGGGAGGTCTTGGCCATGACTCTGGAGCAGATGCAGTAGGTACGCAAGTCTGCACATAAAAATAAAAATACCTCTGACTTGAAAGTGTCTGATTTCCCTGTTCTATTCAATTTGTGTTTGCTGGTGCTGTGCCCACTGTCATTGTAAGGGCTCAGGGTGGCTTGTCTTCTCTTGTGCCCTCTGCAAGACATCCCCAGCTGAGACCTCTCCCTGTTAGGAGTCTTTCTGGAGATTCATCAGTGTGTAACCTTTCCTTCCCATCCTGACAAGCTGGTCCTTTGGCCTATTTGCTGTTTGAGTTTATTTGCAACTTTCAGATCCATATTTTAGTAAAGGGTTAGAACCATCTACATTCAGATCACCGTGAATAACACGATTTTGCTCTTAAATTTCTCTCCACAGAACCATCAATTTTCTTCTCTTTTCCTTCATTTCCAAGGTAGTAAAAAGTAGCAGGAGCATCTGAATCCGTTCCAGGAGTCCTTTCTCTTCCAGCTCTGGATAACAAGGAATTAGTGACACGAAGTAAGGATTTAGAAACCCTCCCTGGAGATCGCATCCTTCAGATCTGTGTTTGCTCTTTCTCTGCAGGGATCCACCGGCTGATCTGAGACGTTCCTCAGTGCAGTGTGAATACTTTTGTGCTGTGAACTCAGCGTGGGTCTGACGAGAGCTGTAGCCAAAACCAGCTAATCAGAGGAGCACCAATAGAGCCAATTACCGCTCAGGCCGTGCTTTCAGCCACTCATGCATGTGCCACAGTTATTCATTCACTTCCTCTGCTTAGATAGTCTTGTAGACTTGTGGTTTTCTCAGGCAGGAGCTCTTCCTTTTCTTCCACACATCTTTACAGATATTTAAACCAAAGGTTTCTCCCTCCGGGCTGTGTCATTTTCTTTGCTGTTTCTGTGGCGATGCGGGTGATTTAAGCCTTTTAATAAAATATAACTCTGCTCTGTCTCTCTCTCTTTGCCTTTAAAGTATGGACAGAGTTGAGTGTTAGTCCAGGTACCATACAAGAGAGCACGGTGCTTGGAGTCTGGCTGCCTTTCTGATGGGTGTAGGTGATCTGAAACCTCAGCCCAGCTGTCTTTTATTTATACATCCGCAGTGATTCCTTTGTAGTCCAGGGTACAAAATATCAAACGCAGATTTCTTCCCCCCCTGCCCACCCTTCTTTAAACTGGGCAACCTACAAAGATGAATATTTGGCTGTGTTAGTGTCCCCACAGGAAGAGGTATTTTCGTTACCTTCTTCTCTCTACGCTTCTCTAATTTGAGTCACTCTTCTCATACTCAGCATTTGGTCCATCATATTCAACTGGTTTTGTACCAATAAATGGGCTGGGTGGTTCCTATTAAAAAAAAACAAAACAAAACAAAACAAACCAGTAGTTCTTTTTGTTTTTTCTCTTTTTCTTTTGAAGAGTAATCAGGATCATGAAAAAACAGGATCTGTCTGTGGGGATCAACTGGGAATACACTGCTTTCTCAAAGAATTTGCAAAAATTTACTTTATGCACAGCAGTAAAAAGACTTTAATGCCATTTAGACTTTGAATGGAAAAGCGTGTAGAAGGACCAAAGAGTTGGTATGGATGGAGACCTTTGCTTACACCTTCATTTTATCTTTCTGCCCTTTCTTGGCCTCTTTGGCCTTTTTTCCTTCACAACAGTCCATCTTCCCCATCCTGCCCCCACTGTGCCAGCAGAGTCCTGCTCTCCTCTCCCTCTGTCCCTGATCTCTGAGAAATTTCACCAATTTAAGTGCAATTTCCTTTGGACATGGACATCTGTCCTGTTAGCTGTGTTCTCCTATCCAAGCTCCTATCTCAGCCTGGCTCCCTGTCATTGGGGATGTTTGGCCCTCATTTCAGAGCCATCGTGGCTAAAGGGGAATGGCTGCTCTCATTCCAAGTGGTCCTTTCTCCCTTTCTCAGTCACTGGTACTATCACCTCTTTTTATCTATCACTTGGGCTTACAGCTTGGATGTCATCCTCACCTTAGACTTTCCTCTCTATTCTCAAGGTCGTGTAGACATCCTCCCTGTAACTTCTCCCAGGCATGACCTTTCCTACCATTTACACATCCAAGATGCTGTGCAGGCTGTTTCCTTTTCTTTTCCATGTCTTGGGTCCTGTAGCATCTTTTCCTGTGCAGACCCAGCCTTGGCCCACCACTGTCCACCCAACTTGTTGCCTCATGCACTGTTTTTCTAGCCCATCACTACTGAGCACATTCACCACCCATCTTTTCCCTGGGCTCCCTTGGCTACCAACATCCACCCCTTGCTTCATGCCAGGCTCTTCAGAAGAGCTCTGGGGCAAGGACCTCCTTGACTCTGCATTTCTGCAGCATCTGGTTCATAAGCCACAACTGCAGGTCCAAGAATAAGAATAACAACAATGTGCAAGCTGATTCCAGCCCAAGTCAGCGGAGGCCAGAAGTTGCTGTGCTCAGAAGTCTGTTCATAAATCAATGTGAAATGTGCTGTCTGAGCGTAGCTCCCAGTAGACACACATCTGCATAACACATACCACTGACACAACTGGCGATGGGAAAAATATCTAAACATATCATTCCCACAGCTGTGGAGGAATGAATAAAGATGTCTAATTCCCCCGTCCCTGGGGTGAACCCTGGTCCAGGTAAATGCACTTCTTATAAATCAGAGGTTTTAAAGGCAGAGGAACCATTAGGAAAGTTTAATCTGACCACACTGGCTAGAAGATGTCACCTAGGGACTCCCGTGTCAAGATCATAACTGAATTTAGAAGAAGAAAGCAGAAGAAAGACATCCTTACTTTAAAATCTCAGATGCTGGAGAAGCAAGCTCATCCCTTGGGGAGTTGTTCCAATGCTAGTCTTGCTAGTCAATGCAAGATTTTGTGCTTTTTCCCATTCTAGATTTGCCTCACTTCAGCTTCCATCCATGGGATCGTGTTTTGCTGTTGTCTGCTACTTGAAAAAAAACCTCCTATTAGAAATACTCACCCAGTTTTAGCATTTATAATTCACTGATCAAGCAATCCCTTGAATAAACTGACTGCAAACAGTTTCTTTTATTCAACGGCAAGATGACCAGACTATCAGTCATTGCTGTAGCTTGATTGCCCCAGGTTTTCAACATACTTTTCAGACTAGAGATTACATTGTAGAATTCTGATTTATAGAGACTGGTCTCCAAAGAGCCAGAATGAGGGTAGCACCACCACTCCTATTCAGTTTTCTGCTCCTTGATCCAAGATAACCAGCATTACACAAGTATGGAGCAATTTCCATTGGCCATTCCTGAAGAAAAATTGTATTGGCAAAGTAAAATTTACACTTTAATCCTAGCTCGGTTAAGTGAGGGCAATTCTGGCCTGGTTATGGGCCAGAGCAATCATCTGTCCCACACCCACGCACTCACAGTGGGTCTCTTCAGCTGCAGAATGACAGGGGAGTGATGAAGAAAGTGATGCTGGATGTGTCCGAGTCCTAATGAAACAGTGATATTGTAGGACTTTGGCTTCTTATCTGTAAATAAAAAGATGGAGATGTGAAATGTTTTGCCTTTGCTTTAACAGCTCAAGTTGTTTTTTTTTTATTTATATAAGTTTTCAAGGACTTGAATCTGTTTTGATTTTTGAATCACAGCTGGAGGTAACATGTTAGACACCATCGAATTCTAAAGTGAATTTGGTGCTGCTAAATGGTACCAGACTCCCAGGGCTGACTTCTCCCTGTATCCCCAGCAGAAGAGCCACAGGATAAACCTGAGCTGGGGAAGGGTTTTCCTTTCAAAAGGGCCAAGATGCTCCGAAACCAAAACCTGTTTTGTCTTTACTGAGCACAGAGATGTGCAGGTAGATGCAGCAGAGGCTGCAGGACCTCCTTACCTTTCCTTCCTCCTCAGAAACCAGCATCTGACCTCAGAGCATCTCGTGTAGAGCCATAAGGTAATGAGAATCATCACTCTCATGCTACTGCTGATTGAGCAGGAATGGGCACACATGTGCAGGGGTTGCATGGCCTGATTTGAGATGAGCCCATACAGACCAACCTTGCTTCTTGCAGTTTGCCTGGATAAAACAAAAAAGCAGAGAGAGACATTTATAATAAGAGCTCTTGGCACTACATATAGTTAATGCAATTGAACTCACACTCCGCTCACTTTTCACAACTGGGTTCTTACTCTGATGAGTTAATTCCCTTTGATGTCCCTTCTGTCCCTCCCCTGCTTTCGTTGAGCCTAAAATAACCCGACTGTCCATCTTGCTTATGGAATTACTGAACTTTTAAGAGAACACAAAGTGCTCTCACATGAGGATTTGGGATTAAACCTCTCCTGTTTATGTTAAACATAACATCTTAATTCTTCCACTGCTGGAGGGCAAATGAGTCTCCACAACCCCAAAGAAACCTGCTTTCAAGCCCTATAGCAAAGGTCAGTGTGATTTGTTTCTCATTACAGATGTTCTTTCCGGTAAAGTTGTCTCATGGTATATGACAGTTCTCTTACAAAACAACTTTAGGCAATTTAAAGCATTTCTAGTTAAATGTTTTCTATGGTAAGGCAACATATGATTAATGTTCAACACATTTCTCTTCTCTCAAACTGCACTAATCAGTGGAATATCTGACTTTTTTCCAGGACTGTAGTAAGGAACACAACTGCCTGCCATCCCTCTCTCATCCAACACACAAGGACCTTTGGATTTGGAGGGGGGAATCCCACTGAAGCTGGTAGTTCCCTGAACTGGGGAACTCTAGCCAGTTTGACTCGAACCTCCTGGCTCTGGGAGTACTTCTGTACAGATGTGTATGCACATCTGGAGGGGCAGACCTATGGGAAATGAGGGGCAAGGCAGCACAGATTACTAAATGGTAAATTACTGTAGATTACTACAGAGGTGAGAAACACCCCGCACACTATGAAGTCCCACAGATGAAGGGAATATAAACAAGATAAAGGATGAGGTAGACACAGCTATGCAAAGCCCAAGAGAAAAACAGAAACAGCAGGGAAAAGGCAGAGGAACTGGTAGGAAAGGCAGGAAAAGACTCAGGACAGGAGAGAAAGAGTAGTGAGGGAAGTAACTGGTCAAGGAAAATTTTAGCCAAAGAAAGAATGAATGAAGGAATTAAGAAGTTTGGAATTTATCCTGTTGAACATCTTATGGTAATACTACTGAAATTGGGACAAAAAAGGGGAAAAAAAGAAGCAACTACAATCCTAAGCTTTTTTCTTTTTTTAAGTGAGCACTGATTGGAGGTGTCCAGTATAAACACCATCAGAGACACCTGCATTTCCGCACAGGAGCTGTCAGCCCTTCTGTAAATCAGCTTTCATCCAGCAGTCTCACACTGGCTGGCTTTATAGCCCCTTGTCCTGCAGAAAGCCGGGTTGAGTGTCATGCCCTGCCTCTTGACTGGTCCCCATGCTCCTGACCTGCCTGAAGCAGGAAAGCTACTCTCCTTCATCTGCCCACCTTCCCCACCCACCATGGCCCCACCATCATTTTTTTCAGGAGCATCCTGGCATCTACTTCCATTTCTGGGCCATTTAGATGAAGCACGAAGAGAAGGAGAGGGGTAGGATTTCTTGTCTGAGGTGGCTTTTTAACCTATGTCCCTGACAGTGTGGAGTCACAGCTTTACCACCAATGTCCAACGCTCACATGAGATGTGCTTGCTCCCCACAAACCACTGATTCCCCAACCAAACCTCACAAAACGGCTCAGCTCTCTGCTCTATTAGCACGTGGGCTCTGTATTTTTCTGCATCTTGAGTATGTCTTGTTCTTTTGAACAAGGCTTTTGAATAGGGCTTTCCAGGTCTTTGACACAGAGACGGTGTTCACAGACCAGACGACATGAAAGCACAGCCCCCGCCATTGTGCAGGAGGTTTATTTAGATTCTAGAAATTGCCCTCAGCAAAGGATAAAAAAAACTGACTGCACTTAACCCAGTGAG